GAGTCAGGGAGGCGAGTGACTAGGTAATAAAGGGTGATGTACATGGGGGGGGGGTTCTTGGCACAGAACTCAGTGGGAAGGGCAGCGCGGTAGCGGGCGTCACTAGTGCGAAGGTGAGCAACTAGGTCAGCAACTGTGGCAAAGGCGGCAAGGTCAGGGAAAAGGTACGGCAGCATGAGGCGGCTGAGGGCAGCAGTGGCAGGGGAGGAGTAGCGTGCAACTACAGCGTCGTACAAAGACTGAGAAGTCTTGTACTGGCCAAAATGCGCGCGCTCAGCAGGCGGCATGTGACTGCAAACAGCAAGACGAGCAACAGCGTCACGAGTGGTCCACTGCGAGCGAACCGTACTGTCAGCAGTGGCAGCAGGAGCAGTGGAAACACCGGACGTGTGATCAAAAAGGGATACCCCATCCCTAGAATCACACTGATGAAAGAGCTGCAGGTCGTCAACCCACACGTCAAAGTCAACTGCACGTCCCTCAGCATCAAAGGTGAGTACCGTAGGGCTAGCCATAGCAGCAGTAGGAGCAGTAGCAGTAGTAGCAGCAGTAGCAGCAATAGCAGTAGTAGCAGCAGTAGCAGTGCAGCAGTAGGAGCAGTAGCAGTAGTAGCAGCAGTAGCAGCAATAGCAGTAGTAGCAGCAGTAGCAGTGCAGTGCAGGGCAGTGCGGCTCGGTAGGGCGGCGCGGCTCGGCTGGGCGGCGCGGCTCGGCTGGGCGGCGCGGCTCGGCTGGGCGGCGCGGCTCGGCTTACCAGGGACGGGTGCAGGGGCGGGCCGTGACCGTAGGGGCCGCGCCAGTAGGGGGGGCGCACCAGCAGGGGCCGCGCCAGCAGGGGCCGGCAGGGGCGCGTCAGCAGGGGCCGGCAGGGGCGCGCCAGTAGGGGCGCGTCAGCAGGGGCCGGCAGAGGCGCGTCAGCAGGGGCCGGCAGGGGCGCGCCAGCAGGGGCGCGTCAGCAGGGGCCGGAAGGGGCGCGTCAGCAGGGGCCGGTAGGGGCGCGCCAGTAGGGGCACGCAGGGGCCGGCAGGGGCGCCCCAGCAGGGGCGCGTTAGCAGGGGCCGGAAGGGGGCGCGCCAGTAGGGGCCGGCAGGGGCGACGGCAGCTGCTGCAGGGGCAGCTTAGAGCTGCGAAGGCGGCCGCGAAGGGGCTGCGAAGAGCCGCGGAGAGGGCCGCGAAGGGGCCGCGAAGGGCCACTAAGGGGCCGCGAAAAGCCGCGGAGAGGGCCGCGAAGGGCCGTGAGGGGGGCCGCGAAGGGCCGCGAAGGGGCCGCGAAGGGCCGCAAGAGGGGCCGCGAAGGGCCGCGAAGGGACCGCGAAGGGCCGCGAAAGGGGCCGCGAAGGTGCCGTTAGGGGCGCGACGGGCCGCGAAGAGGAGGGCCCTAAGGGCGGGCCGCTAAGGGCAGAGCGCGCGACGGGAGGGTAGGCGCACGGGGCGCAGCTAAGACAAGCGCGAAGTGCGCTTCGGGCAGGTAAGGAAAAAAAAAATTCGTAGTGGTGGGCCCTTAAAAAAAAACGGTCCCACTAGGGAACCCGCTCAATACCATGTGAGAATAATGAGAGGAATGAATGAACTAGAAAGCAGGTGGGTACAAGTGGCAAACCTAAAAGTGTTGTACCCTGTAAGAACTACCCCACTACAGCCTAAACAGACTATAGCATATAAGTTTGACAAGTGCAGCACGCTACAACGGACGAGTCCTCTGCACGACCTTCGGCCGTGCTCAACGCGACCGTCGCCGACCGAGGTGGTGGCTCTACGGACGATCGTCTCGGCGTCAAAGTCGACCCCTGACCGGTTGCATGCGAGGCTCGCGCACGACGGCGTCGACACGATCAAGAGCTTGGCGAAACATGAAGTTGCTACTGGGCTCGACATCACTCTGTCGACCGGAGCAGACCCACCATGTGTCTCGTGCGTCGGAGGAAATCTGGCGCGGCACACCTTCCCCACCAAAGGCTCGGACGCCGAGGAGGCGCTGGCTGTCGTGCAAATTGACTTGTGCGGGCCATTTCGGGTTTCTGCCAAGGATGGCAGCTTGTACTTCTTGCTGCTGAAAGATCGCCACACTCGATTTGTGTGGGTGATGCCGGTCGCTAAGAAGAGCGACGTGTTGCGGGAGTTCCGGAAATGGCTGGTGCTGGTGGAACGGCAGGCGAAGAAGTCGGTGCTTATGCTCCGCTCAGACTGGGGAGGGGAGTTCCTCGGGAAGGAGTTCACCGACTTCGTCGACGGCAAGGGCATCGTCCACGACCCGACGTGCCCTTACACTCCGCAGCAGAACGGCATGGCTGAGCGGGAGATGCGCACGGCCGTCGAGTCTATGAGGACGATGCTGCTGCACATGGGCGTGCAACACCACTGGTGGCACCTCGCTCTACGACAAGCTGTCTGGGTGCACAACTGCTTGGAGCAGTCGACGACGCCGCCGGGGACGACTCCGTACCAGCTGTTGACCGGGAAGAAGCCCGACCTCAGGCTGGCGCGGGTGTGGGGCTGCATGGTGCAGTTCATGGTTCCTGAGCAGCAGCGCGGTGGGAAGCTGGCGCCGAAAACTCGCTGGGGGCTTCACCTCGGCGTGTCGCCGAAGAGTAAGGGCTGGGAGGTGCTCGACCTGACCGACAACAAGGTGGTCGCGTCGGTCGAGGTGATCTTCTATGAGACGCTGTCGCTGGAGGTGTGGAAGGCGAAGTTTGGGCCGGCATCGGGGCGGACGCAGGCACACCCGCCGACGGACACCTTGACGGCAACGGTTCCCTTGCTCGCCGAAGTCGATGAGCTTGCTGATGAGGATGCTTTGGAGGTTCTTCCACCTCCCCTTGTTCTTGCTCCTCCCTTCCCCGTTGCAGATCGGCCTTCGTCGACACCTGTGTCGGCCACCGGCGATGAGGGGAGCCTTGAGGCGTCGCCTGTGGCACCGGCCAGTGACATCGCCGGCAGTCGACAAGGCGCCAAGCTCGTCGACCAAGATGGGAAGCCGTCGACAACAAGGGAGCAGCAAATAGGGGAGCCGGTCGAACAAGAGGCAGCAGCAGGGGTGCAGTTGACAGGGGAGCTGCCAAAGTCAGCAGGAGGTGAGCAGCTGGTCGAAGGTTCGAAGCAGCTGGTCGACGACTTGACAGTCGACGAAGAAGGGGAGCTATCGGCAGGAGAAGAGTCCACCGACAGCGACGTGGTGGAGGTACCGATCACGAAGCCTGAGCTGCGACGCACAGGTCGAGCTCGACGGCCGCCGGAGCGGCTGAGCTTCCACGCCTACCTACCGCCAGCTGCCTGTCAGAATGTATTTGCTGTTTAGCCTGCAGTGGGGTACTCTGTAGTGAGTAAAACCCAATTTAGGGTTTGCTATTTGTATCCCAACTTCCTATAGTGAAACCACCCCTTTCTCGATTCTACCTTGCACATTCCTCTCGACACTCAACTCTCTCGACACTCACTAGCCATGGCTCCTAAGTCACGCTAGTATTCTAACATGGTATTAAGAGCAATAAGTTCTAGGACCTAACATCAATGGGCCCACCACCTAATGTCCTGCTAGCCTAGGCCCCGGCCCGTCGCCACTTGGCGTAGCCCCTAGCCCCTAGGCTCGGCCCCTTGGCCCCGTCGCCCCTAGCTGTGACACTCGGCCCCGTTGGCCCCGTCGCCCCTAGCCGCGCCCCTCGGCCCTGCTGGCCCCGTCGACTCCGTCGCCCCGCGCCCGGCCTGTACTTAGCCCGCAATCGGCCCGTACCTAGCCCGCGCTCGGCCCCGTTCCTAGCCCCGCGCCCGGCCCGTACCTCGCCCGCGCTTGGCCCCGTACCTAGCCCGCGATCGGCCCGTACCTAGCCTCGCGCACGGCCCTGTACCTAGCCCGCGCCTGGCCCCGTACCTAGCCCGCGATCGGCCCGTACCTAGCCTCGCGCCCGGCCTCCGTTCCGCGCCCAACGCCCGGCCCGTACCTAGCCTCGCGACCGGCCCGTACACTGCCCGCGCTCGGCCCCGTTCCTAGCCCCGCGCCCGGCCCGTACCTAGCCTCGCGACCGGCCCGTACCCTGCCCGCGCCCGGCCCCGTCTCTCGCCCGCGCTCGGCCCGTACCTAGCCCCGCGCCCGGCCCGTACCTAGCCCAGCGCACGGCCCCGACCCTAGCCAGCGCCCGGCCCCGTACCTAGCCAGCGCCTGGCCCTGTACCTCGCCTGCGCCCGGCCACGTACCCTGCCCGCTCCCGGTCCCGTCTCTCGCCCGCGCTCGGCCCGTACCTAGCCCCGCGCCCAGCCCGTACCTAGCCCAGCGCACAGCCCCGACCCTAGCCAGCGCCCGGCCCCGTACCTAGCCCTCACCCGGCCCCGTACCTGCCCAGCGCCCGGCCCCGTACCTGCCCAGCACCCGGCCCTGTCCCTAGCCCAGCGCCCGCGCCCCTCGGCCCCACTGGCCTCGTCGCCCCTAGCTATGGCAAGAGGGGTGATGACTTCCTGCCCGCGTGCCCTGCAGTCGCACGCGCAGCTCCGCCCCTGCCCCCCTCCCCCCCCCCCCCCCTCCTCCATGGGGACGGGGGGGAGAGGGTGTGAGAGGGTGGCGGATGTGCCTCAGCAGCAGTAGCTGCCGCCGCGCCTCCTCCTCCATCTCTCCCTGCCGCACCTTGTGTTGGGAGAGGGGGGAGAGCTTGGAGGTTCAGAGGGAGGCAAGAGGGGATCTGCAGCACCAGCCCCCCCCCGCCCCCCCCCCCCCCCCCCCCTTTCTCCTCCACCCCTGCTGCGGGTGCAGCAGTGGGGGGGAGGGGATCTACAGCAGCAGTGGGGGAGGAGATTTGCAGCATCAGCCCCCCCCCCCGCCCTTTTCTCCTCTCTCTCTCCCTGCCGCACCCTGTGTTGGGAGGGGGGGGGGGAGCTTGGAGGTTCAGGGGGAGGCAGGAGGGGATCTGCAGCACCAGCCCCCCCCCCCCACTTCTCCTCCATCCCCCTGCTGCGGGTGCAGCAGTGGAGGGGAGGGGATCTGCAGCAGCAGTGGGGGGGAGGGGAGTTGCAGCATCAGCCCCCCCCTCCCCCCCCCACTTCTCCTCCATCCCCCTGCTGCGGGTGCAGCGGTGGGGGGGAGGGGATCTGCAGCCCTGTGCTGCCCTGCAGCCCTGCGCGCCCTGCGCGCCCTGCTGTCCTGCTGCCCTGCGCGCCTTGCGCGCACTGCAGCCCTGCGCGCCCCACGCGCACTGCTGCCCTGCAGCCCTGTGCACCCTGCTGCCCTGCAGCCCTGTGCGCCCTGCTGCCCTGTATGCCCCTCGTGCCCTGCTGTCCTGCTGCCCTGCGCGCCATGCGCGCCCTGCAGCCCTGCGCGCCCCGCGCACCCTGCTGCCCTGCAGCCCTGTGCGCCCTGCTGCCCTGCAGCCCTGTGCGCCCTGCTGCCCTGCTGCTGCCGCTACAGCCCTTGCTGTTGCCGCTACAGCCCTTGCTGCCGCCCTGCGCGCCCCGCGCGCCCTGCAGCCCTGCTGCGCCCCGCGCGCCCTGCTGCCCTGTGCGCCCCGCGCGTCCTGCAGCCCTGCGCGCTCTGCGCGCCCTGCTGTCCTGCTGCCCTGCGCGCCCTGCGCGCACTGCAGCCCTGCGCGCCCCGCGCGCCCTGCTGCCCTGCAGCCCTGTGCGCCCTGCTGCCCTGCAGCCCTGTGCGCCCTGCTGCCCTGTTTGCCCTGCGCGCCCTGCTGCCCTGCAGCCCTGTGCGCCCTGCTGCCCTGCTGCCCTGTGCGCCCCGCGCGCCCTGCAGCCCTGTGCCCCCCGCGCGCCCTGCAGCCCTGCGCGCCCCGCGCGCCCTGCTGCCCTGCAGCCCTGTGCGCCCTGCTACCCTGCTGCTGCCGCTACAGCCCTTGCTGTTGCCGCTACAGCCCTTGCTGCTGCCCTGCGCGCCCCACGCGCCCTGCAGCCCTGCTGCGCCCCGTGCGCCCTGCAGCCCTGCGCGCCCTGCGCGCCCTGCTGTCCTGTTGCCCTGCGCGCCCTGCGCGCACTGCAGCCATGCGCGCCCCGCGCGCCCTGCTGCCCTGCAGCCCTGTGCGCCCTGCTGCCCTGCAGCCGTGTGCGCCCTGCTGCCCTGTTTGCCCCGCGCGCCCTGCTGCCCTGCAGCCCTGTGCGCCCTGCTGCCCTGCTGCCCTGTGCGCCCCGCGCGCCCTGCAGCCCTGTGCGCCCCGCGCGCCCTGCTGCCCTGCTGCCCTGTGCGCCCTGCTGCCCTGTGCGCACTGTGCGCCCTGCTGCCCTCTGCACGCGCCAAGCACAGCCCCCCCCCCCCTCCGCCCCCCCCCCCTCCCCCCCCCCCTTTCTCCTCCATCCCCTGCTGCAGGTGCAGCAGTGGGGGGAGGGTATGGGGGTGGCGGGTGTGTGAACCGTCCCCTGCTCCTCCTCCTCCTCCGTCTCCCACTGCTGCAGCTGCCGCTGAGGGGGGTGGGTGTGTGGGAGCCGAGGGAGTGGTGCTAGGGGGGTGACGTGGGAGTGGAGCTAGGGGTGCAGCAAGGGGTGTGTGAAAGGGGGGTGGGACAGTTGGGGGAGGTTGAGCGGACTGCCGTCTTGTCGTCCGCAGCACCTGTAGTCCGGGGCTCTGCTTCTGGTAGCTCAGAGAGCCTGCTGCGCCTGACGCCTGTGGGTCCGTTGCTCCTGCCGCTCAGAGTTAGCCGCAGAGCCAGTTACTCCTGTAGTCCGGGGATACGGCCCTGGTAGCCACAGTGCGCGCCGCTCCTGTTGCCCGTGTGTCTGCAGCATCAGCCGTCGCCTCCTATCTCCTCTCCTCTCACAGTCCAGCCTCCTCCTCCTCACTTGCCCTTTGTGAATGCCTCTAGCTTTGCTTGTACTTGTGAACCTGCTCTATGACTGCTTGCTCTGCTGATTATACCCCACTTTGACTATGGGGGTGTGTCAGAATGTATTTGCTGTTTAGCTTGCAGTGGGGTACTCTGCAGTGAGTACAACCCAATTTAGGGTTTGCTATTTGTATCCCAACCTCCTATAGTGAAACCACCCGTTTCTCGATTCTACCTTGCACATTCCTCTCGACACTCAACTCTCTCGACACTCACTAGCCATGGCTCCTAAGTCACGCTAGTATTCTAAAACTGCCTTCACCGCTGTGTACAACGAGGTCGACGATGACCTGTTGTACGACGACGCCGAGGAGGATGAAGAACTGCCGGAGCTCGACCCCGACATGCACGCAGACCCCGAACACCGCTGGGACATCGCCACGATTACGGTAAAGGAGGCGATGGCGAGCTAGAAGGGTGAGGCAGTGAAGGCCGCCATGGAAGAAGAGATCCGCAGCCTCGTCGGCATGGGCACTTGGGAGCTGGTCCAATGCCTACGCGGGGTGAACATCATGAAGAGCCGGTGGGTGCTGACGACCAAGTACCGCCTCGACGACACCGTCGAGCGCAAGAAGGCGAGGCTGGTCATGAAGGGCTTCACGCAGGTGTGCGGTGCCGACTACGACGAGACGTACTCGCCGGTGAGCAGCTACGTCACGCTGAGGATATTCCTCAGCATCGTCGCCGTCTTCGACCTCAACCTGATGCAGCTCGACATGAAGAACGCTTTCCTGCAGAGCAAGCTCGACAGGGTGCTCTACATGTACAAGCCGGACTGCTTCGACGATGGTACTGGCCGGGTGTGTAAGCTGCTGAAGAGCCTCTACGGGCTGAAGCAATCGCCGCTGCTATGGTACAGGGCACTCGACGGTGTGCTGCTGGGCGCTGATTGGAAGAAGAGCCAGGTCGACGAGGCGCTCTACTTCAAGGCCAGCGACAACGAAGTGACCTGCTGGGTGCTGGTCTACGTCGACGACCTGCTCGCCGCTAGCAGCAGCCCCGCGATGTTGAAGGAGCTAAAGGAGCTGTTGGAGGATGCCTTCGAGCTACGCGAGATTTCGCCGGTCGTCAAGTACCTCGGGCTGGAGATCGTGCGCGACAGGCCAGCGAGGTAGCTGCGGCTTCACCAGCAGGGCTACGCCGACAAGCTGCGCAGGCGCTTCATCGACGAAGAGCAGTGCGGTCGAGTCCCGAAGACGCCGGTTTTGGTCGATGCCTATGCCGAGCTGACATTTGATGTCGAGGAGGCACAGGAGCGCGAGGAGGAGGAGTACTGGCAGAAAGTTGGCTCGCTGCAGTTCGTGGCGACGACGACGAGGCCGGACATCGCGTTCGGCTGTAGCAAGCTGGAGAGCGGCCTCACGGTGAGGAGCGACCAACATTGGCGCGAGGTCGACCGTTGCCTCGCCTACCTTGCTGACACCCGCGACACCGCCTTGGAGTTCGGCGGTGGACCAGAGTCACTGGAGCTGATCGGCTACGTGGATGCCGATGACGCGGGCGACAAGCAGAAGCGGACGAGCACGAGCGGCTACGTGTTCGTCTACGGAGGGGCCGCCGTCACCTGTGCTTTTCTGCTGCAATGTGAGCGCTGCTGCTGCAATGCGCGTGCTGCAGTGGCGTGCTGTCGTCGACTGAGTCGAAGTACGTTGCGGCCACGAATGCAGGCAAGGAGGGACGCCGACTTCGTTTCCTTCATGCGGAATTCAAGCTGCTCGACGCTCGGAAGCCAACCATCCTTCGTGTCGACAACAAGTCGGCAATTACGGTCGCTGCGGGCTTGGGGCTGACGGGCAACCTCAAGCACATGGAGCGACGCTATGCCTGGCTGCAGCACATGGTGAGGTGCGAGAAGTTCGTATTGAAGTACATCCCAACCACCGAGCAGCCGGCAGACTTCCTGACGAAGGCGCTGCATTTTCCGGCTTTCAACCGGTGCTCTGTCGCCATCGGCCAAGTTCGTCTGGCCGATGTTGGCGACAGCAACGATGATGTGCAGCACTAGGTGCCGTGCCCTTCTGCATGGCTGGTGCGGTGACGGCGTGCTGTGTGTGGGGTGCACGCCGAGGACGAGTTTTCTCCGTAGTGTGCTGTCGTGTGGGCTGGGGGCCCAAGCGTGAGCGCGGCAGGGGAGTATTAAGGGGAGTGGAGTGTTGGCCCCGCCCCCGCTTGGGCAACGCCGACGACTTGTTCGGATGTACAAGAGTAGCAGCCGACCGTCCACAGTGGGAGAGCTGCTCGACAGGCTTCGTCGAGCTGTAGGGGACCGCAGTGGTGTTGCTGTCGACCAGGGAGCTCGACAGCTGCAACTGACTGGTCTGGGTGATGGATGGGCCGTCGACCAGGAGGGGCAGTTCGACCGGGAGGTCGACGGAGCAGTCCGTCGACCTGAGAAGTGAGTAGCGGTCGACGAGGGGAGCTCGGCGACAACAGCTGACAGTTCTGGTCGACGGAAGGGGTCTGTCGACCAGGGAGAAGCTCGACGGGAGCTGTGGTCGACCAGGGGGCACCTTGTGGTCGACCAAAGGGACCCGGTGGTCGACCAGAGGCACTTGGTGGTCGACCAGAGCACCTGGGGTTGTCCAGGTCGACCGGGTAACCTGCTCGGCGAGTTCTGCGGAGGCACGCAAACATCGTCGAGGTCGCGATGGCGAAGGCGACTTCGAGTTGGTATCCCGAAGTCGATGTGGCTCGTCAGGCGCAGACAACAGCCGACGGATGCACAACGGTGCAAGTCGGGCCAATCGTCTGCGCGCATCTGCGAGCGTGCGCACTGCTGTCTTCTACGGGGCAACGCTGGACAGCCGCTCTGCTGCAGCGTTGGCACACCATCGACCTGCTGTTGTACCCAACTTTCCCTTAGTCAATCCATTCCTCATTTCTTCACATGGTATAGAGCAGGTTCCCTAGTGGGAACGCTTCCTTGGGCCCACCATTGAAACCTTTTTTTTCTGACCGGAGCGACAGTCGCTCCTGCCCGAGGCGCGCCTTGTGGGCCGCCCTTCTGTCGAGCTCTCTTAGAGGCCCCTCTCACGGCCCCTCGCGCCACCCTTAGCGGCCCCGTCGCCGCCCCTAGCGGCCCCGTTGCCGCCCTTCCAGGCCCCTTGCGGCCCCTAGCGGCCCCATTGCCGCCCCTACGCGGCCCCGTAGCCGCCCCTAGCGGCCCCGTCGCCGCCCCTACGCGGCCCCGTCGCCGCCCCTAGCGGCCCCGTAGCCGCTCCCCTCCCTACGCGGCCCCGTCGCCGCCCCTACGCGGCCCCGTCGCCGCCCCTACGCGGCCCCGTTGCCGCCCCTAGCGGCCCCGTCGCCGCCCCTAGCGGCCCCGTCGCCGCTCCCCTCCCTACGCGGCCCCGTAGCCGCCCCTACGCGGCCCCGTCGCCGCCCTTACGCGGCCCCGTCGCCGCCCCTAGCGGCCCCGTCGCCGCTCCCCTCCCTACGCGGCCCCGTCGCCGCCCCTACGCGGCCCCGTCGCCGCCCCTACGCGGCCCCGTCGCCGCCCCTAACGGCCCCGTCGCCTCCTCCCTCCCTACGCGGCCCTGTCGCCGCCCCTACGCGGCCCCGTCGCCGCCCCTAGCGGCCCCGTCGCCGCCTCCCTCCCTACACGGCCCCGTCGCCGCCCCTACGCGGCCTCGTAGCCGCCCCTACGCGGCCCCGTCGCCGCCCCTAGCGGCCCCGTCGCCGCTTCCCTCCCTACGCGGCCCCGTCGCCGCCCCTACGCGGCCTCGTAGCCGCCCTTACGCGGCCCCGTCGCCGCCCCTAGCGGCCCCGTCGCCGCTCCCCGCCCCTAGCGGCCCCGTCGCTGCCCCTACCCGGCCCCGTCGCCGCCCCTAGCGAGCAGCCGAGCCGCCGAGCCGCCCAGCAGCTGAGCCGCCGAGTCGCCCAGCAGCCGAGCCGCCCCTGGAACAGCCGCCACTGCAGCAGCCGCCCCCGGAGCAGCCGCCACTGCAGCAGCCGCCCCCGGAGCAGCCGCCACTGCAGCAGCCGCCCCTGGAGCAGCCGCCTCTGGAGCAGTCGCCCCTACAACTGCCGCCCCTGGAGCAGCCACCCCTGCAGCTGCCGCGGAGCTCTCGCTCTACAGTGGTAGCGGCCTCGCCGTTGCCGCCGTCGTACGCCTGCCCTTCTCGCCACTGGTGAGCACTGCCCTGCCCGTACTGCTGTTACTGCTGCTCTTACTGCTGCTGCTCTTTCTACTGCTACTACTGCTCCTGGCGTGGCCAGATGCAGCTCCAGCGTCGCCCGCGTGAGTCCCTCACCCCCCAACAGCTTCGTGCGTGGTACGCTAGTTGGGGTTGTCGGGGTGGCCGTAGTGGGAGTCGTCCTGGAGTGAGTAATTCCACAGCTGCTTGTCGTGGCCAGGTGCAGCTGCAGCGTCGCCCGCGTGAGTCCCTCACCCCCCAACAGCTTCGTGAGTGGTACGCTAGTTGGGGTTGTCGGGGTGGCCGTAGTGGGAGTCGTCCTGGAGTGAGTAGTTCGGCAGCTGCTTGTAGTGGCCAGGTGCAGCTTCAGCGTCGTCCGCGAGCAGTCCTTTCGCCACAGCAGCTTCGTGAGTGGTACGCTCAGCGTGACGGGTCACGGGGTACTGCTCGCTGTCCGTACGTCATTCGCACTGGTGCTCGGACTGGTCAGCCTTGCGGGACGTTGGGTCACGCAGAGTCCCGCTGCTTCGCCCGTCTGAGCGACGCCTGGCGTACGGAGTTTGGCGACGCGGCTGAGCTCCCCGACTGGGTGGAGCTGCTGCGGCTGCGGGTAGATATCTATACTCTTGACTATGATGCTATCCTCACTGCCATGTATGCATTGCCTACTAGTGATGAGGGTGACTGTTACCTGTGTGTTCCGCCTGACCCGGGCATTGAGGCTGCTGCTCTAGGTGCTGGTGAGGCTGCTGCTCTAGGTGCTAGTGCGTCTGCTGCCCCAGGTGCTGGTGAGTCTGCTCTCTCATGTACCACGTCGTCTCAGGCCTTACACACCTTCACTCTTGACTCGGGTGCTTCCCGCTCCTTCTTTCGAGACCGCACCACGCTTACGCCGCTCAGTCGGCCGGTTGCGGTCTCCCTGGCAGACCCCTCTGGGGGTCCTGTCCTTGCTCACTTCTCCACTGTCCTCCCGTGTCCGGCGGCCCCCTCTGGCACCCTGTCTGGTCTTTACCTCCCCTCGTTCTCTACGAACTTGGTGAGTGGTGCTGACCTACAGGATGCGGGGGTTCACCAGTTCACTCCTGCG